TCAGAGCATGATTGTACACTAGTGGGAGTGGGGTTAGCCCTGTCAGAGCATGATTGTACACTAGTGGGAGTGGGGTTAGCCCTGTCAGAGCATGATTGTACACTAGTGGGAGTGGGGTTAGCCTCATCACAGCATGCGTGCAAACTACCTTTTCAATCCGTTTATATCCTGTTATGTTTTAAAATCTCGATATACCGGCCAGCCCTAGTGGAAGCCAAAATTATAACTGACATTAAAATTCATAGCCAATTCTGTATTAATACTAGCATTAAATTCTCATATGCCATCCATCCATCCATCATCTTCCGCTGGATCCGAGGTCGGGTCGCGGGGGCACCCAGACTTCCCTCTCCCCGGCCACTTCATCCAGTTCCTGTGGGGGAATCCCGAGGAGTTCCCAGGCCAGCCGAGAGACATAGTCCCTCCAGCGTGTCCTGGGTCTTCCCCGGGGCTTCCTCCCAGTGGGACATGCCCACCAGGGAGGCGTCCAGGAGGCTTCCTGACCAGATGCCCGAGCCACCTCATCTGGCTCCTCTCAATGCGGAGGAGCAGCGGCTCTACTCCGAGTCTCTCCTGAATGACCGAGCTCCTCACCCTATCTCTAAGGGAGAGCCCAGCCACCCTGCGGAGAAAACTCATTTCGGCTGCTTGTACTCGCGATCTCGTTCTTTCGGTGATCTCATGTTAATCTCATGTTATCCGATCTCTGTACAAGTCCTAATAATTAATGTAATATTGGTCTATTTGTTCACTTTTCCAATTAATGCTCAAAACGAGAATTCCTTGTTTTTCTGTTTTGTACCATTGTAGGTCTGTAACGAGAACTCCCTCTTTAAGAGTCTGTCACGTTACCTGGTTCGCCGTAAAGACCACGATCTTTGGGGTAGCGTGCTCCTGGAGTCTAATCCATACCGGAGGCCTTTGATAGACCAGGTGGGGAGAAATAGGAATAGACTAATACTCAGTGATTTAAGCACTCATATACTAACATGTTCAAGCTTAAGCTATTTTCTGTTTGCAGGTTGTGCAGACTGCCCTGTCTGAGACTCAGGACCCTGAAGAGGTGTCTGTCACTGTGAAGGCCTTTATGACAGCCGACCTTCCTAATGAACTCATTGAACTTCTGGAAAAGATTGTTTTGGACAATTCAGTTTTTAGTGAACACAGGTAATAAGATTTAAGGATAATCAAGTAACAAGTTTGCCTGTTTCTGTACCTTGAACAAGACAGCTGAAATAAATGTAGATGTGCTAGGTGAGCAATAAATTTGGTATTGAAAGCACAGCTAAATTATGTTTAGCCTAAAGCAGAGCTTGATTTATTTTCAGGAACCTACAGAACCTCCTAATCCTCACAGCCATCAAAGCAGACCGCACTCGGGTGATGGAGTACATTAGCCGGCTGGATAACTATGATGCGCCTGACATCGCCAACATAGCCATTAGCAATGAGCTCTTTGAGGAAGCCTTTGCTATCTTCAGGAAGTTTGATGTCAACACTTCAGCTGTTCAGGTCAGATGAACTGTGTTAGTCACTCATCGTACTGGTTTAGAATGGTCTGGTTGTCATTAGCCTTCAGGACACCGCACATGTTTTTGTATATTGTAGGTTCTTATTGAGCACATTGGCAACCTTGACCGGGCCTATGAATTTGCCGAGCGTTGCAATGAGCCAGCGGTATGGAGCCAGCTAGGCAAGGCTCAGCTACTGAAGGGCCTGGTGAAGGAGGCCATTGACTCTTATATCAAGGCAGATGATCCATCAGCTTATATGGAGGTGGTACAGGCAGCAAATCAAAGTGGTAAGAATCCCCCTGGCAGGAGCTGCCTGATTGGATCATAGGTCATAATAAAAATCCTGCCTTATCTCTTTGGGCATTTATTTTTCAACCAGGGAACTGGGAGGATCTGGTGAAGTTCCTGATGATGGCTAGGAAGAAGGCACGGGAATCCTACGTAGAGACTGAGCTGATCTTTGCTCTTGCAAAAACCAATCGCCTGGCTGAGCTTGAGGAGTTCATTAATGGTCCCAACAACGCTCACATTCAGCAAGTATGTTTTGCCTGCTTGCAAAACCCTACAATTTGTTAATGAGGTCAGTCAGTCATTTTATTATGTTTGGATGTTCTTGTTTCTATCCAAAGGTTGGTGATCGATGCTATGATGAGAAAATGTATGACGCAGCAAAGTTGCTGTACAACAATGTCTCCAACTTTGGTCGTTTGGCCTCTACTTTGGTTCATCTGGGAGAATTCCAGGCTGCTGTGGATGGAGCCCGTAAGGCCAACAGTACACGCACCTGGAAGGAGGTCAGGTTTTGTTTGTCTGGCTTTACATTGTCTGTCCAAATGACGCAAGCCTAAAATGATTATTTAAATGTGATGATGTTTCAAACTATGGCTGTATTGGCTCATTTCCTTCTTATTTAGGTATGCTTTGCCTGTGTGGATGGAAAGGAGTTCCGCCTGGCCCAAATGTGTGGCCTGCACATCGTTGTTCATGCTGATGAGTTGGAGGAGCTCATCAATTACTATCAGGTTAGCGCTAAAGCTGGATAAAGTTAACCGATTCATAAGTCAAGGGGGCCAAAGTAGCAGTTGATTTGTGCTGAATGGCTGATCCCTTCACTCCTCCTGCAGGACCGTGGCTATTTCGAGGAGCTAATCACTATGCTGGAAGCAGCACTGGGACTGGAAAGGGCCCACATGGGCATGTTCACAGAGCTGGCCATTCTCTACTCCAAGTTTAAACCACAAAAGATGAGAGAGCACCTGGAGCTTTTCTGGTCCAGGGTCAACATTCCAAAGGTATGGTGAATGGGAGTAAGGCATAGATTTACAGCATCTTCAGAACATCAAAAACATCTTCAGGATGTTGAAATGTGTCTCTCCTCTGCAGGTTCTCAGGGCTGCTGAGCAGGCCCATCTGTGGGCAGAGCTTGTTTTCCTATATGACAAGTATGAGGAATATGACAATGCAATCATCACTATGATGAACCATCCAACAGATGCTTGGAAGGAAGGGCAATTCAAGGACATTGTCACAAAGGTAACCATAAACTAAGAAATAGTTCACTAGGAAATGTGTACGTAGTACAATGTGTGTGCATGCATGTACTTAGAGACATCCAGCATGTGCCGCAACCTTGTTGTCTGTTGCCTGGGATGGACCCAGTCCTTCCTGAAACCCTTATTAGAATAATTGGTTGTACATAGTCTTCCTGCAGACCACAATGTCAGATCCAAAACAGTAAGTACAGCAGATGATGAGAAATAACAACGACGGATAAAAGGGAATGCTAGCAGCAAATCACTTAGCATAGGCATATGCAAAACATGCGAATAGTGAATAAAGCATCAGCATCAGCTGCAATATAATTTTGTATGCAAAAGCCTGCATTTCTATACTGGGTTCAAGGATTCAAAAGGTTTGTTATATATTCAAGTACTTGAATGTTCCTCCCTGCAGACAACAATTTAACTCTAAAGATCAATAAATAGCAAGTAACAGAAAAATTAGGAAAATAATGTATATACAATATTTACAGTATAGATACAAAAATACATGTAATATACATACAATATACAGTAACACAGGGTTTCTCAACTTTCCAAACCATGTGTTCCCTCTCGTCAAGTTTTACACGTAATATAGAATTTTTTTCCCCAAAGATCAGATAGTTAACACTATATAATTCCAGATATCGATGATTATCAATATATAATGGAAGTTGTCATCAGGTATAACACCATGCATATAATGTGGTTTGTTGCTGTTTTTTTCTCTGGCTGCCTGCTCTTTGTTACAGTGAATGGGTTTGACCCATTTTTCCCATTTTTAACCATTACAGAACACGATTTGTCCCGTATTTCTTTTGATTGAAAGTGGAAACCCGAATTGCTGGAGTTTGTGATTGTAAACGCATCATCTGTATGTTCAACTAGATGGCAGTGCTTCAAGTGGTGAAATAACGTGGTAGTATTTCCAGTTTTAATTTGGATTCGTTTTCAGCAGAGTTTACAGTACCGAGAACTGCAAAAAATACTATCACACCTTTTTACATTGTTTATCCACAGTACAGTATCTCCTTCTTAAAAAGATGTTGTGGCCGTTGGGCTGTCGCCTTCTTCACTGACCCTTGATGTTTCTTGTGAGGGAGTGCATATTTATTCCATGATATTACCAAACTTTTCATATGTGCTCCGCTAACTCAACCAACCTTGCTGTGAGTAGGTTGTCCATTCTTAATAGACTGCCATATTATTGGTTGGAATTGTGTTTATTTCTGTGATATGATAGGCTGATGTGTGCTATCAAGCATTGTTCCTTATTGACAGGCCCAGGCAGCGATCAGGTTTGCATCCGTGCAGCGGCCCGTTACGGCCCAAACTGCCTTTCCCTGCTTCCGTAGCCCACTGCTTGAGAAACCCTGCAATAGCATACAAGTAGGACAAGGTGCTGAGGACTGCTAGAAGGGAAGAGCAAGAGAAGTGGTTGTGCAGAGTAACTAGAGTCCGTTATGCCGTGATTTGCTTTTCAGAGGTAGTATTATTTATGTATTCTGGGCTGCTGTAAGCTCTGTGTCAGTAATGCTCTACAGTTATTTGCGGCCTTGTGTCAAGTAGCTGTCATACCAAGACAGTGGTGAGATTGGACTCCATAGTGCATCTGTAAAAACTGGTTAGTGACACTGGTGGCATTTGGACCTTCCTTCTTCATAACTGTTGTGACTGTTATGTTATGATGTTCTACCTTTTTTTCTTTCTTTTTTCTGCTGCCATTTGTAGGTTGCCAATGTGGAGTTGTATTACAGAGCCATCCAGTTCTATTTGGACTTCAAGCCCCTGTTACTAAATGACCTGCTCATTGTTCTGTCACCCCGGCTGGACCACACACGGGCTGTGAACTTCTTCACAAAGGTTGCTGATCCTTATACTTTATGCATTTGTAACTTTGTCTACCTCCAGTTCAGTAATTAACATTTGCTTTACTATCATCAGCGTAACTGTAATTATGTTCACTTTCCTCTGCTTTCCTCTTAGATGAAGCAGATTCCACTTGTTAAACCTTATCTGAGATCTGTACAAAACCACAACAACAAGTCTGTAAATGAAGCACTGAACAACCTTCTCATCATAGAAGAAGACTTTCAGGTAAGGAGGTTTTGCAAGATATCTTTTGAATGAAATGAACTCCCCAAAACGTTTCCATGGATACCTAATGTATTAATATTTTGTTCTGAATTTTATAATACACTAAGTATGAATTCTGGGCTTTGTCCTTTTCAAAGCACCTGAGCTGCCTGACTTGGGTTTATGTTCCAGCAAAAGCTGTATTCTCTCTTTGCAGGCTCTGCGCACATCCATAGATGCCTACGACAACTTCGACAACATCTCACTAGCTCAGAGCCTAGAAAAGCATGAGCTTATTGAGTTCCGAAGAATTGCAGCCTACCTCTTTAAAGGCAACAATCGTTGGAAGCAGAGTATTGAGCTCTGCAAAAAGGACCAGTTGTACAAGGTCACAAACTCCTTGAGAACCCAGTCAGTTATTAATTCAGACAAATGGAAATGTATCTCATAGGCTCCTCCTCTGCATTGAAAGGTTTTCTCAGCAATATATCTGGACTCATGTGCAATCTCTGTGCTTTTCTGGTCAACTCAGGATGCAATGCAATACGCTGCAGAGTCCAAGGACATAGAGGTGGCAGAGGAGCTTCTCCAGTGGTTCCTGCAGGAGGATAAGAAGGAGTGCTTTGCTGCCTGCCTCTTCACCTGCTATGATCTGTTACGGCCCGATGTGGTCCTGGAGACCGCCTGGAGGCATAACATCATGGACTTCTCCATGCCTTATTTCATTCAGGTCATGAGGGAGTATCTGACCAAGGTAAGGATCAGCAGGCTTGCATGAGCTAGTGTGCGGGTCACCTTCTGATTCGGGGGAAATCTAACCAAAACAGGCTCATGCCCCTGGTTAGAGCTGCAGGGATTTAAAGATTGTTTTCAATCTGAATCAATCTGAAATGGAATGAAACAATCATCAGTGCTCTACACTTGCTCCTCCTCCTGGACCTTACTGGGAACTTACCGCTGAGCTAATATGGAGAGCTAGTGGTGTTTTACAGCTTGAAGCGAGGCGGGTCATCAGAGGAACAGCTTTCGCTGCTGCACTGCTGCTCTCTGACCATGCAGAGTTTACTGCAGCCTGTCCGTCCATCATCATAGCCCTCATGCCTGCACTCGGCACCCTCCCCTGCTCATATAGCCTGTGGAACACAGCTAAGCTACCTGCTTGCAGTGTTTAATCATGCTGTTTGTTTGCTTATCAGTACTTTCCCATGCAATAGTGGTGGAAGCTCATCTCAGTTATGGATCATTACAAAAGCCACTCGATACAAACTGGTTCATCATTCTGCATTTGGAACTGAAATTTATAGGTACAGTTGGGTTATGGATTCAATGATAGTTTCATAATTTCCTCCTTTGGTCAATGTGCCAAAAAAAATAATAAAAACACCAAAAAAAAAAAGCTACCGACTTTCTTTGAAGCCTAGATACCAAACGGTGTCAGACATTATTAAACAATTTGATCAGTTTATCAACTTCGAGCTACCAAATTTTCTACCTGGACTTTCTAACTAGTTGCAACATACAGTAATAAGTACCAGTTGACAAAGAACCAAGCTTGAGGCTGGTCATTATGGACAAACACTAGTGCATGCTGGGTGTATTTCTCATGATATTGAAGACTCCTGAATGGAGTGAGTAAGTCTCAGTCTCATATAATATGCATTTGTGTCTTGAGCTCAAGTAAGGGGGGGCTGTTTATTTTTAAACAGTTATAGCCAAATAGTAATCGCCACTTTGCTATCAGCATGCGTAGCTCCACCATATTGAAAGGCCTGGCTGCTTTATTGGAACAAGCCACTGTCTTGACTGCCCTGGCATTTTATGTGTTGTTTCTTGTATTTTTTTCTTTTCCATCTGTTTACTGTCTGTGCCTGCTTTTTATTTTATTTTTTGGATTTTTTTTTTCTAAGCTGCAACTCTTGAATTCCTTTTCAGGTCGATGCAATTAAGGAAAAGGTGAAAGCTGATTTTTTTTTTCAGTTCTAATTGTTCCTTTAGTGCAGATGAGTGACACCTTGGGAATCTGCATGTTGTCCCTCCCATGCCACATTGCTGCTTTCAAACAAGCCTGTCACTGACCAGACAGTATTGGGAGATTGTACTCTCCTGTAGCACACAGGCCTCCTGCTTTGCACCCAGAGAGCTCCCATCCAGGTTGTCATAGAGATGATCACCCATTTCTCAGAGGAAAATCATGTGACATGATGATCAATGACAACCTAAGCCAGTCACTTATTCAATGGGGAAGATGATACTTGGGATCTGAATAATGTCTTTAAATGTCCTCTTCCTCATTGGTGCGTTATTGGCAGTGGATTTCTATAAGTGACTGAGCAACAGGTGGTTCCCCTTAAGACAGAAGGTTCAGGACAGTGTTTCTAACTACCTGGGAGAAGGCTCTTCGGGAGATGGGTTCGAGACGCCTGTAGTATATTCTGCCATTCTATAGCATGAGAGAAGGAGAACTGCAGGTCAGCCTGGTAGTGGTTTATAGTTTGTCATACTTCACTCCTCCACCTCACCCAAACACTTTTTTCAGTTCCGATCCGATTCCGATACACAACTGCCGATACCGATACAGATTCTGATATGAGTTCTTTTTATTTTAATAAAGTAAATTAGTAATATAATAATAAGTAATATAGTAAAACTAGTAAATACAAATGAAAAACTGTATTTCAAAAAATCTTTAATTAAGCTACTAAGAACATACATAACATACTGTACCATCTTGTTTTAAGCTTTTTTGAGCCATTTTGCAGTTTAATATGAATATCTTCCAAGCGTGGATACGCAAGTGGCGAATGCTTAAAATGTCCCCCAATTTTTCTCCCACTGGCAAGAGCATCACACTTCATTGTGATAGCAGTTCCTCGTGTATCACTCCAGCGAGTGGGCAAACAGCCCAAGAAAGTGACTCCCAAGTCACCCACTGCTTTTTTCATATTTCTCACATTGTCTCACACAATTGTGTGTGCTTTGTTTAATGGGATTTTCCACTAAAAGCTACTCCCACCTTTCAGAACTTTGTTTTTACAAAGATTGCAAATTGCTGTGCTACTAGTTGCTGTTAGAAGCTTAAATGTTGCAAAAATCACATCTAAAATGGGAAAGGGCTGTCAAATAGATTTAACACAAAATAGGAGCTATTGTTTTAGAGACTGCCGAAAACTAAAGTATCAGACGTGGATCGGTCACATATGTACCCAGGTACATAGTCTTCCTTGGTTATGTAAATAACTAAAGTATACAAGTGAAATGGATGAACCTGCAAAACCTTAGTTCATGTGCACAGGCTATTTCAGATCTTTTGTAGTTGAACAGTAAATTCCTCTTGTAGTTTCACAGATCACCTATTCATTCATTCTTTGGACCAGTTTAATAATGAAAGAGCTGAGAAACTGAAATCTGGTTTTTGTTAGGCTGAATGTGCACATGTTAAAAGCAGGTAGCACACCTATAGTACGTACATGTTCATTTGGTGTTGAAGTAGCATGTGTTAACCTCTTTGTAGCAGTAGTGCCTGTTTAGACAATAGGTGACATTGCTCTTGGCTGTACATGCTTCTCGTAGGGCCTGACTGCTTGTATAACCTCCCTGTGGCCTTGCTGTCCCTGCCTTGGTACTCCCACCTTTTACTTATGCACTGATTTTGTACTCTTAAGAAAACTAGCATGACTTTCCCCTCAAGTAAACTGTCACTTTGTTCTAGTACTTGCAATAGACCCTTTTTTTTAACAAAACAGTAATTTGTTTAACAAAATATGGAGGGAACTAAACCCAGTTTCTAGTATTCAGTGTGAAGCCCTTAATGCACTGATCTCAGATTACAAGCATTTGATTTAGGTTTGAAATTGACGCTGATGCCCTTTAAATGGCCTCGCTTGACTAAATTGGCACCTCTTTCAAACCTGGAAAATCTCTTGCTCAGCTTTTACAAAGCTTACACATTTTTAGAATTTCAAATGATAAATGTTTTAATTGGGCAGATTGAGGAGGTTCTTAGATAATATCATTATACTTGGAGATTTGGGTATGAAAGCATCCCATTCTTAAATCATTAATCTTAAATTTGTTTGAATTTAGCTGCTTTTTGGAAGTTAATAAGAATTACTTATTTGGAGAACGTGAAAATATGATATAGGAATTACTCGAAGAGCGTATGTTTTCCTCCTTGATATTGCATCAGTACATTCAAATTATTAACAAATGGGTTTGGTTCCTTTCTTATTTATCTCACTACAGTAACAAGCTAAATCCAAGTTTTGGCCTGAAGGTGGGACCATTGCCAGGCATCAACTTTATTTCACCCCCAACTTCACCCTCCCAAAAATAAATTTTCTGTTTCTCAAACTAATGCAAGCTTTTGGCTTTTCCTTATGCATCATGAGTTCCTAGATTAAGGTGTGAAGTGAAGAAGCTCCTCTCTCTCCAGTATCTCTACTTACATTGTCTTTTGCCTACATTGGTCCTGCCTATCAGCCGCCATCTTAAAGTAAAAGTGCGGGTTGGCTGAGCCTCCCTTTGGAGGTTCATGCTGGCATTAGCTGCAGGTGGTTTTGCCTGTTAATTTCTCTGGCTGCTAATTTTAGGTGGACCAACTGGATGCCTCAGAATCTTTAAGGAAAGAAGAGGAGCAAGCTACGGATAACCAGCCCATTGTTTATGGTAGGAACTCCCTCTTTTGTTATAACTTCCTTGCGTTTTCATAAGAACAGTGAAACGTGGGAAGTTAAGTGATAGTTTTTAATTATATAAGATTCTGAGGACAAGTAGTCAAGGTTTTCTGCATTCTTGAATGAATACGAATGGAGCTAGGGCTGAACGATTTATCGATTTCAGATCAAAATCAAGATTTGAAGCAGCGAGATTAGCAATTCGCTAAGGCTGCTATTTATGATATGCATTATACTGCACGTCTGATCCAGGGTTTAAAACTGTCGTGGGAATAGTTTTACAAATTCACGGAGTCCTCCTTGTGTGACAGTCATTCTCACCAATCAGAAGTGCCGTAACTCCTCACATGCCAGTCATGCTCACCAATCAGAAGTTGTCCAAGGCAACTGTGTATACGCCCACAAACAGCAAATGCGTGAAACCTAAAGAAAACGTTACATTTGTGGTGTGAAAAAATATCGATTCTGCTGCTGAAGTGAATTACCCACTTATTTCATGGTCAGAGATTGTTTACAGAACAGTCCTATTATTACAGGCCCAAGCAGCGTTAGCTGCAAGACCCCTATTGTTTTTTTCTTACTGGAATTGTTTTATTTCTTTATTTAAATTAACACAGTCACAGCGTTTGTGATATTTTTTATGTTTGATTGTTCTCTGCTAATGTAACCCTTGTGTACATTGGAGTTTCACAAAACACTATTACTTCACTATGGGTAAAAATGTGGGCAAGTGCTGTTTGCAAACTCAGCACTTATAATGCTCATGTAAAAATACACTATGTTTGGGTTGCTAGCAACCGGGCACTTTTTTTGGCAAGTAAATGACCATAAAACAGTGATTCAAAGCAATTTTGTCTTGAATTTATATTAAATTGTTACGTATAAACAGTACATGGTGTAACCTGGGAGCAGTGTCCACACAGAGTCATATGGCCATCGTCCTCAAATGACGATGTAAAAAGGTCAGTTTGTTTAGAAACTGTCCGTAGTGTTCAGGAATGTGGTATTCAATGAAAGTTTACACAGTTAAGGTTACTTCTGGCTTAAATTTTAATATGTATATGCCGGGTCACTAAAGACTCTAGGTTTGTACACAAGGATTAAAAAAGTAATAAATACATGTTGGAAGCAATTCCTGTATTTAAGTTCTCATCCTTGCATTAGAATATAGACCAGCTAATATTATGATGGCATCTCATGTAGTAATGCTGCGTTACATGTTTAAATCTTTTACACGTTGAATATTGAACTGAAGCTTGACTTTTAACAAATGATAACGCACTCCATTATATATTTTCCCCAAATCGTTCAGCCCTAAATGGAGCCGTCCCCAAGAAACCTTTAGTAGCATTAAACAAAAACGTATCGGATAGTAAGGTATAAACCACGACGAGGTGTGCAGTTATACGAAAATAATCACCGACTACGTGGTGCGATGTGGCCCAACATTAAGTGGAAGACCACTGACCAAGTTGCAATTGATTGTTATCATATAACCACACATCCCGTCATGATTTATCCCACTTATACCACGGCTAATGAACAAAAAATAGAATATACTAGTCACAGTTTAATTTTTCAGAAGAATTTTTCAGTTAGCATTTAATAATATGCTCTTAAAAATCTAGTCCCTATAAGTATAGAATATCTAGTCAGGCTACTCACTTGAACCGGCAAATCCAGTAAGTTACCATAGAAACCATCAACAAACGGCCGCTTGTGTTTTGCAAACCACGGAAAATTATGCTGAATTGCCTGATTATTTATAAGCAAAAGGTAACACTTTTTTATATTAAAACATATTAATATTTAACCTGTGTAATTAGACCTGTGTCATTACATGAATAAAATTAATACCCATATGACATCTCTGAACCAATAGGAAAATTAGTATTTACCAAAGCCGTGGTATAATTGCCAATAATCGGTTATAGGCATTGTCAGTATGAGCCAGTGTGTAAGTAAATGCGAATGTGATGTGACATTACAGGGACAGCTCAGCTGATGCTCACTTCAGGAAGCAGCATGCCCGTCCCACAGCAGGCTTACGGCTATGGATACTCTGCACCTGCAGGCTACGGCCACCCCACACAGCCCCAACCTGGCTTTGGCTATGGCATGTAGGCCTCTCTGCTTCAGAGCCATGAGTCCGTCTCCTTAAGTTATTCACCAGCCGATTCTGGTCTTCTGTTTGCAGTGGGGAATGCACAACAAGCATTTTTTTTGTTGAACTTGATTTTATTTCTTTTTCCCGAAGGAAAACAAACTGGACAGCCTGTTGTTTTAACACTTTCATCCTTTTCCAGTGTATTACTAGAATTGTCTTGACTTTATTTTAAGGAAGAATGGAGGTTTATGTTCACAAGGGGCTTGCAGGTTCTTGTTCTCTTGATTTAAAGTCTGTTGTAAGGCGTCTGATTTGCACTCAGAAATTAATGTAGAATCTCTTGTGTGTATGTGTTTGTATGCAAGCAGCTTTCTTCAGTCTGTAAAATGCAGTAAAAAGCTACAGTATCCTTAGCATATGAGTTGGTTTATGGCTTCTATGACTTTAAGTACAAACACTAATATCAGTATGTACTACATGGGTCTGTAGCACTAGAGTCCTTGTAAATTCAAACCAATGTTGAAAAGTGCATTTTGAGTTCTGTTTTTGTTTATATAGCCCCATATGTTTCACATATGGCTCATGATTCCAGTATTCAGTGTACATCTGTGGCACCATTTCTGTCCTCCTGGAGGGAAGAGTCTGTTCTCCTGAAATGTGTGTATTTACTCATCCCTAACCTGTGCTGAGGTTTACATGTGTTGGGTGTTGTGATGTTTAAGGTCACTGTTGACTGTACAGAACAGGGAATTTTAAGGCCTGATAACCTTGCTTGTCCTGCCAGTTTGGTTTGTGCAGTTTTCATTCTGATCTAACTGAAAATAAACATACATAACAGCAGTAATTTGATCAGTGGTGTGCTTGTCTAGCCGTTTTCACACATGAACTCCAGACATTGTCCTGAGACACTGGTCCAGATATTTTCCAGAGTTGCCCTTTCACACATGGCACACAACCACCGATTGTCTGTCACATATGCGTTCACACCTACTAGAAATACTGTGGAGTGGTGCTTGGGTAGAGCATGCAGGAGACAGGGCATAATGCAAAAAGTACACTGCAGAAATTGCAGCGTTTCCTTTATAGCACTATTGAGAAGTTCCTGACTCTCCAGTTAACAATGTTCCTTTGGGTCTTCTTTGTATAAATGAGACTTTGCTCCTGTTGTTCTCCAGACAGTTTCCTGCTCCATTCACACATGGGGGTCAATCAGAACTTACCTGAAATTTGTACTATGTAGCTAGCAGAGTAGAGTCCATTTAATGTCCAATACGACTGATTTGGATATTTACCTTCACACATACAACCCCTCTGGGTAGTCTAAAAAGTTCTGGGTAGCAGTGCATGTCTGAAAGGGGCTTAAATTGCCTAATCAGTGTGACAATGTATCTACCCAGAAATGGGCTGATATTCTGGTCAGGGCCAGACTTGTGCCTTGTTCATAGCTACTGTGGCCAGGATTAACCATGTCAGAAAACAAAGAGATGCATATACAGTGGTACCTCAGTTCTCGAACTCATTAGAACTTGAATTTCTTAAAAGTCGAACCAGTCGGTTCGAAAAAAAAATACCTAGAGCTCGATCTGAATCTCAGAAGTCAAACCGTGAACGCCAACCTAAGATAACTTGTACGTGCGGGGAAATGAGTCACGCGGCACGTCTCTCCGCGGAAACGAAGGCTAACGCTGCAGTCTCAGCCTTGCATTCGCTGTGATAGCACCGTGCATGTTTACACTAACTGAATACATATATTTAGACAGTAAAAATACATTTAGACAATGATAGACAGTAACAGTATTTTTATTATATAATAAAATACATTTAAAAATAAAGATTTCTTATTAATTAATTTAATATTAATAATAACCATTAATACATTTAATTATAATAATATTATATGCCGAGCGGGACGGAACGGAGACAAAGGCGCAGACGTCAGGGTATTTGGGAATATGGGGTTTAATTACAGGTAAGGCAGGCAAAACACAGATGGACAATACAATGACCGGACTGGGGAAACAAACTGAAACGCGGACGAAATACAGCGGAGTAATGGCAACACCCAGAAACAGCTGATCACAAGGGGATTCCACATGGGGTTAACGTGGGGGCGTGGCACACGGAAGGAGCAGATGATCAGGGCAGGACACATTGTTTGGATACATTTATTTTCTTACTTTACAAATTATTGTTTTGATAAATGTGCTTAGATGTTTTTAGTACAGTATCTGCTGTTCTTGTTTTATCCGGTTCATTTTTGTGGTTAAATGCTAAAAAAAAACATATTTAGGTATAATTTTTTGGGGCCGGGAACCAATTAATTGGTTTTCCATTATTTCTTATGGGGAAAATTCGATCCGGAGTTCTGAACGGATTAAATTCGAGTTCTGAGGTACCACTGTATTTAAATTATTCTTCAATTGTTACCTGAATGTAATTTCAAAATAAATATTGAAATAAGAACATAAGAACATAAGAACATAAGAACTATTACGTAAATACGTAATAGTTACGTAAATGTATAAGTATATGAAGTCTATGGGCGGTGGGTGGTTTGAATGGGCTTTACATTTGGGGTATGGGTTGTAATATTAACAGACTGTGGCTAGGAGTTCACTATATATCCTGTAAATTTAGTGTGGATACATGTAACAGTGTACATTCTATAACTGGCTTGTTGATCTAAATGCATATTATTTAGGACTAAAGAAAGTGTGTGCCAGGAAACTACAACACAGTTACAGGGCAGACAATCCACTAGATGGCAGTAATGCACCTAAACACACAATAAACATTCAACAGAGTACGCTTTTTGTATCAATTTTGTCTTCAGTTTACTTATTGTACTTCATACTTACTAAACTTAATCTTCATGCATCTCATCTAATCATTCTTTCAAAATTATGTGACAATCCACACAGTGCTGGTGTCAGAACAAACCTGAACTAAGTGGTGCCGGGTGAACACATTTATCAAAAAATTAGATGTGTCCTTGGTCGGTGGCTTTTGGGGTGGGCATCAACCCTGAGCCCACATGTATGTAGATGCTATATAAAGCCTAGGGAGAAGGAAAAATCAGAAATAAAAGACCAAATCCATTGATTAGGTCAAACTGGTAGCCGATGGGTACAAGACATGCTTTTGAAACCCTCCTAGGTGAGCCAGAGGGAGGCAAAGTAATTGAAAGGGGCTGCATTAACTATCCTAGTCATGTCAGCATATCATTTCAGCACCAGCACAAGGCCAAAATGTTCTTTAGGCACGATCATACAGTTGACTCTGTTTAGACTTCCGGCTTTGTTGAGGTTTAAATTGGTGAATTTTGTGGCTTTAGGCAGGTTGGAAAAGGTGAGATATGCTTCCATTAAAGTGTTCAGTATTGTGTGAGGATTTTAAATAGGTTGTTCCAGAACCCAATTAAACCACATTATCACAATTTTTTATAATAAAATGCTTGATTTTTGGTTTAACACTGCTCCAAAACTACATTTCTATCCAACACTGTGGCAGGCATCTGGCCCACAACCCATAAAAACTGAATTCTGCTTTTGTTTAATAGTTTATGATTCAGAATATAAAGACGTCCCCCTAAAAAAAATATCCAATGTCGGGGGTGATTTTTTTGTTACCACGATAAGTGAATAATATATATAGTAGTCCTTACTGATAATTTGCATGAGGTATTCAGTATTTGTGGGTTCATACAAAAATGATACAGTACCTCAGGTGACTGCCATCAGCTCAGTGTACTGGGGCTTAGTGTTACAGTGATCATTGATTCTATGTCCATTCAGTCTCCTTTGTCAACAATAGCATTTTAAAGTTGTCATAGTTGGGAATTATGCCCATAGAAATTAATAGAATGTCCCCGTAAAGACATGACTACAAGACATAAGATTTGACAAATACCAGCTAACAGAGTGGATAATGTAACCACAAAGTATTGTTTTTAGCAAGGCCTCATTGGAGAAGCTGGGTCATTTAAAGAGGAAATTCGGTTAAACTAGTGGTTAGAAACATGTTTCTGTCATCCATTTGTGAGCAGTTGATTCATCAGTTAACTAGTTACAGTTATTTAATGTTATGTATAAGTAAGTGAATATTATTATTATTATTATAATTTTTATTATTATTATTACTATGACTAGAGAAAGATATTCATTTGTCGAAAACACTGGGTACTGGTTGCTTGATTCTTGTCCATTGTGACTGAGATTCTTAGATTATTGAGATTAGGTCAGGCTGCTCACGTGACTTCTCTGAAACAAGCTGTCCCCTCAAAGCATTTAAGGTAGTTCCAGTAAACCCTTTGTGATGTCTGAAGTGATGACTGGAATCAGCTTTAATCATTGTTACGTAATGGTTAAATAAATATTTTAGAAATCTTGAAATCCTGTATTAGTCATATGCAGTTTGTGTCTAAAGTCATGTTTAGAAGATCATTTGAAGACGTGTGCGTGTGTGTGTGTATAAAGAGACTATGTATGTGTGGATGAATATATAATAATTAGGGGTGGGACTTGATTAAAAAAATTAATGCAATGAGAAGCTTTGTAATTAATCGAAATCACGTTTCAAATCGCATTTCAATATTTGACACGAGAAATAAGAAATTTAAGTTTGGTTGACGAGTGCATCAATATAAATAAGCTTAAACTTCAAAATCTTGTTTATTTTCCGATCAGTCTACTATACAGACCAATAGATGAGTGCAGAAAACACAGAGAAAACAGTTTTCAGAACACTGGAAATTTTGACCAAAAATGCCAAAGTCCTGATTGATTTCAACTGCTCCTATTTTTCAAACATCGAGTATGAAAAACCAAAAAAACCAAACAATATTATTTTAGTCAAAAACTCACTCAAGTATCCCTGGCCAAAAATAAACAGACCAACAGTTCAAGATAAAGTGCTACGTTACCGATCTGTGCACTAGCCACAACATGTTTTGCGTTGAGGAGGTAACGAAGGGTGGAAGTGCTCATGTGATAAGCAAACTCCTTCCTGCATAAAGTGCAAATAACATTTTTGTTTGTACTTCCATTCCATACTTTGTATTTTAATTTCCCATCCACCAGTGTAGTCTTATCTGTCTTCCGCATCATGCTCATCACATTGTGTGTTGATATAATGTGTATGCCTGGAACTCGTGCACTGAGAAACGTTCTGTGGTGCAAATTAAAGTGCGAGTTAAATGTGTTAATTTTTTAAAATTAGTTATTTATTCCATAATTAATTAATGTAAATGAACGCGTTAAAGTTCCAGCCCTAATAATAATACAGTGATTTATGAAGAAGAAACTGAACCATAGCCCACTGGCTAGCTAGTAAAGAAAAAAATACATGTTGAACTACATTTTTAGTAGTTCACTACATTTTTATTGAACTACTCCAGTTGGCTTAAGTTCAAACCACTGCTTACGACCCAAAATCTTTAGAGTGTGATTACACAAATAAGAATGTCTCTTTCTTCTGTGGGCCTCCCTTTGAATATTTTTTGCTTTGAACTGAATATTTTCACATTTCATCACTTTACAATGAGTCACTGTGGACCCCCTGGGGACCACGGAATCCTGGCTGAAATCCCCTTGTTTTAGGAGTTAACACTAAATCTATGCTCATCTTTCATGATTATAACTGAAACTCAAGAAAGGGCAAATCTTTGTAATCACAACCATTCCCAGTGTTCCTTAAATATTAATCAAATGATTATCAGAATTTAAATGTGATGTGATAAGTAAATATACATCAGAGACTTTGTTTATTAATTGGTTGGTTATTTAGGTTTCCTTCTTATTTAAAACATAGAATAATGGATCACATGCCACTGCATTAATAAACATT